AGATGTAAAATACAGAGCTAGCTTTGTAATTGTCATCACTTGCTGTTCAGAAATACTCTAGTTTTCAACCCTTGTTACCCATGATAGGAGTGTACTTCTGGCAACATTCAAGACAGTGGTTGTTCAACTGGCCTAGGTTTGCAAGTGACTACAATGAGCCAAGTCCCTCTGCAGACCCAGACTACTCCTGTAGCATGATTAAAAAATTAATTTGAGTGTTTAAAGGTATTTTATTTACTGCAGTAGTACCCTGCCTATCCTGATACAGAATTCTAGGGTGAGTTTGTAACAGCATGACATTTAATGGTGAGTAGTGTAAATCCCTACAGTTGAAATTATAAGTATTGCAGAGTGTCCAGTCTAGAAATGAATGTATGTTTTCCTCTTTTCTAGCCTGAGAATCACCTTGGAATTACTAAATGCATGACTATCTCCTCTGAGAGTGTGCACAGTGTGTACATGTGAGATGAACTGCTATAGTCATTTTGCCACCTCAAGAAAAGCTTGCCTTAAGCTCAAGCAGATACTACTGAAGGCAGAGTTAGAGAGGGCAAGAAGTATGGTTCCTGAATGATATCACTGAGTTGCTGAAACCCTGATGACTGTTGTAACAGTCTACCTACAGAAGTCAACACATCCCCTATCGTGTAAGCAATGTTCTGCTATGTTTTGTGGAAGACACAAAGATGTGCTGCCCAGACCCCCTTTCAAGGAAGGACTTGCTGCACAGTTCCAGGGAACATGGCCAGCAGGCAGGAGATCAGATTCTCCGGAGTCTGCTTCAGCTGCAGAGAGCCACCTTGCTTGAAATTATAGCCTCCTTGAGGCAGACTGCATCCAGTACCAAGGGCTGGCCATTTCAACCTACCACGAGATACTCTCTGATGGGCATCACTCACTCTACAGCTCCCTCCCAAGTAGGCTGAAGCTTCCTTTGACCTGAGTAGCAGTTCAACATCTTCCTCTGACCAATCCTGCTCCTGTCTATTCCTAATAAAAATCCCCATCTTCATATCAGTGTCTACTCAAAAACATACTCTGTGACAAGTTTTCTGTAACATCAGCCTAAAGCATCCAAATTGAGATTCCATGGGATAGTTTGAACTTGACTAGAGGAAGAGAAATGCACTCATTATTTTAACTTTGTGGAAATTTTCAAGCATATACAAAATATAGAAAGAATATAATGAAACCCAGTATCTCCAACTTCAAAAAATATCAGTATACAACCAATCTTTATCATCTGAACCTTTCCAATATTATCTTATAAACACATCTCAGATATTATAGGATTTCATCTATAAATACCAGAGCACACTGTTGTTTGCTTTGAGATGCCATTCAGTGTCCAACCCAAGTCCTACCTATTGTCTCTTTTCTTCCTCTTTCTACCACCACATCTTTCAAAAGAGTATTTTAGTAGAAGAAAAGGCAGTAGTCATAGGGATAAAAGGGCCCTAAAATACATTCATTCTTTCACTCATTCAACAAACATTTAAAGGCACATCACCTCCCAAAGTCTTGGGATATTCAGTTGTTACCCATATATGTGGTTGTTCAGATAGGCAGTGTAATGATGTCTTCATCAGATTGTGGCAGGGTCCCCTCCCTAAGGAAAGAAAAAAAAAAAGAACACCTCAAGGCAACCTTGCTATTCGTGTATGTGACAACATCCCTCATGACCTCGCAACATGAAACCACTTAATCAGACTGCATGTTTGTGTGTTACCATATATAGGAGACAAAGAAGTAAAAAAAATGTATTAGAAACCACGCCATGTGGCGTCTGGGGCTCAGTTCTTTGGGTACAAACCCAACTGAGTAGTGCCGGCAGGAATAAAGTTGCTTCCAGGAAAGAAAAGCCTCAGTATCATGACTCTCTGTGTGAGAATCCTGCTATAAGATGAAGGAAGGAAGGAAGGAAAGAAGGAAGGAAAGAAGGAAGGAAAGAAGGAAAGAAAGAAGGAAGGAAAGAGAGGAAGAGAGACAGAAAGGGAGAGAGACAGACAGAGAAGGAGGGAGAGAAAGGAAGGAAGGAAGAGGGAGGGAGGAAGGGAAGGAGGATAAGAAAGTATCTCATCTAGTAGGAAATATGCATTGTGTTCTACTACATAGAACAAGACAATGCTTACTCCAGGAAGGACCTTAAAGAGGAATTTGAGGCCTAGAGAAATGAAGTGATTTGTCTGAGTTCACATGGCTAGTTAATAGCAGAAGTAGGCTTAGAACCCAAATGTTGACTCTTAGCCAGTTGTTTCAAACTCTTAAAAATTGTGCTTTGAAAGTATCCAGTGGAAAAAAGACAGCCTCTATAACAGATGGTGCTGGGAGAACTGGACAGCAACATGCAGAAGAAGGAAACTAGATCATTTTCTCACACCATGCACAGAAATAAACTCAAAATGCATAAAGGACCTGAACTTGAGACAGGAAACCATCAAAACCCTAGAGGAGAAAGCAGGAAAACACCTCCTTGACCTCAATAGCAGTAATTTCTTACTTGACACATCCCCAGAGGCAAGGGAATCAAGAGCAAAATGAACTATTGGGACCTCATCAAGATAAAAAGCTTCTGCATGGCAAAGGAAACAATCCATAAAACTAATAGGCAACTGACGGAATGGGAAATGATAGTTGCAAATGACATATCAGATAAAGGGCTAGTATCCAAAATCTATAAGTAACTCACCAAACTCCACACCCAAGAAACAAATAATCCAGGGAAGAAATGGGCAGAAAACATGAACAGACACTTCTCCAAAGAGGACATCCAGATGGCCAACAGACACGAGACGATGCTCAGCATCCCTCCTCATCAGGGAAATACAAATCAAAACCACACTGAGATACCACCTCACGCCAGTCAGAGTGGCTAAAATGAACAAATCAGAGGACTCTAGATGCTGGCGAGGCTGTGGAGAAACGGGCACCCTCCTACACTGTTGGTGGGAACGTAAGCTGGTGCAACCCCTCTGGAAAAGAGTATGGAGGTTCCTCAAAAAATTAACAATAGAACTCCCCTCTGACCCAGCAATAACACTGCTAGGAATTTACCCAAGGGATACAGGAGTGCTGATGCATAGGGGCACATGGACCCCAATGTTCATAGCAGCACTCTCAACAATAGCCAAAACATGGAAAGAACCTAAGTGTCCATCAACTGATGAATGGATCAAGAAGATGTGGTTTATCTATACAATGGAATACTACATAGCAATGAGAAAGAATGAAATCTGGCCATGTGTAGCAACATGGATGGAACTTGAGGGTGTTATGCTGAGCGAAATAAGTCAGACAGAGAAGGAAAGATACCACATGTTTGCAAGTATAGATGGATTAGGAGGAACTTAACGGAGGACCATGGGGGAGGAGAAGGGGAAAAATAGTGGGGGAGAGGGAGGGACGCAAACCATGAGAGACTCTTGAATGCTGAGAACAAACTGAGGGCTAATAGGGGTGGGGGGGAGGGGAAGGGGGTGATGGGCATGGAGGAGGGCACTTGTGGGGATGAGCACTGGGTGTTCTATGGAAACCAACTTGACAATAAACTATTTAAAAAATAATAAATAAAAAAATAAAAAGATTGAAACTAAATAAAATAAAAATTTAAAAAACTGTGCTTTGAAAGATTTAAATATGATTAAAATATATATTTTGCAAAAATATTGTGGATCCAAAAATACTGCTTTGGATCACAGGAGCTGATACTTAATCCCTCAGTTCTGGGTAAATATAAGAAATATGTCAGGGGAGAAGGGGCTAACTGTATTTGAAATGAATTCAGCCGTGCCAAACCAAAACATTCAGATAAATGATCATCAGAATCACGTAACACATGCTAGGTTACATTACTCCTGTTTCTCCTGCACTGGGATTTTCCTAGTCCTTTTCACTTGAGAGTTAAGGTCTTGAAAGTGGTTCTGCTTTTACCTAATTAACACCTCGAGGTCGAGGGAGGCAGAGAGCATTTTAAGACTCCACTTCTAGTCCTAACCCTGCCACTATTTGTGTGACTTTTATTAGTTGCTTCTTTTGACCCAGTTTTCCTTACTTGTAACATCAAGAGGTCAACTAAATTATTATCTCTAAAGTTCTTTTCACTTCTAACATCCTGTGAAGTTTTTGTTGTAGGGATAAATTCTCAGCTCAACTGGTCTCTGTTGTTTCCTAGGTTAACTTTCTTTCAGTTTATTATCTCCATATTTTTGAGGGCAGAGCCTGGGTTTTATTCACCTTTCTCCCAGTATCTAGCATAATAACCAAGAAGGGAGTGATTTCAAATAGGGTTAAAGCTCGTTCCTATACAAAATCCCATCTTTGGAGGAGCTCACAGTTCAGAGGAAGGTACCAAGTGTCACTAATCACTTGATTACATGCTGAGTATACAACAGGTAACAGGAAAACCGGTTGCAGCTTTCCTAACTACTTACGCGTCCCAAACGGAAACAAGAGAGTGCTTGTAATGGTTCACAATGATTGTGCCAGAGCTTTCCATGTATTATCTCAAGTAATACACACACAACCCTATGTTTTAGGAACTAGTATCATCTGTTTCACAAAGAAACGGGCACAGAGAGGTAAAGTAACTTGCCCTTAGAAGTGAGAGGCAGGATTCGAAACTCAGCAGCAAAGCTTCACAGCCCACACTCCCAAGCACTCCACTGCACACAGTAATCGGAAAATCACAACAATCTTGTGTTCAAGACACAAAGGGAGCAGAGGAAAGTAACTGCAGAAGCCTGAAGAAGCTGGCAAAACAGTCGGAAAAACAAAAAAAAAAAAGAACTTCTCAGAGACGATTACAGCCGTTTAGGAAAGCTGAACGAAAGAGAACCCGGTAAGCAAGATCTGGGGCGCTTCCGGATCCCGGGGTAACCGAGGAAGAAATCGGAAATGACGTCTACGGGGGTTGGGCGCTGAGCGGGACTACCTGGCCTAGCGGAATTTCTGCCGGAAGTGACGCACAGGAAGTTACGCCTTGGAGGCGGTCTCTGGTAGTGGAGGGCGTCGCGATGGGCGGGGCGGAGCGTCTTTGGTCATCGTGGAACCTAGGATTTCGGGCAGGTAACCTGCGGGCCGAACTTGGACGGGGTCAAGGGTGGAAGTTGAGGTGGGCGGCCTAAGCTCCAGGTCGGGCAGGGAGAGGTGGATCTCGCCTTAGGCTGGAGGGAAGCCTCCTTGGCGTGGAACTGCCTGGGGTGATAGGGGTGAGTAACTTTGGGAACCGGGTTGTGAGGACCCAGGTGGTCGAGGAACTACAGGTAGAGACTTCCAGGAATCGATCATCGCCGAGGCTTCATGGGCTCCTGAGCCTTGGCACTCTGGGATTAGAGATGGAGTCTGGGCATTGAGGGGAGCCGACCTAGAGTTCATTTCTTACCTATTCCGACTCCCGCCTCCGTTCTGCTCACAGGGGACAGGTACTTCATCTCTTAATCCAGGACAATGCCTTGCCACTATTAGGCATTCTTTAGACGTTGTTGGATGAATGAAGAATTTAATATGAACGCACGAACCAGATTCTCACGGAGAAGGTAGAACTTCTCCCGAACTTCAGGATCTCTACCTGAGTGTGGAACTGATTTCCAATTTAGTATGCGAGCCTGTGAGTTATGAGGATGTTGGAGGAGTATTCAGAACAAGGTTGTTGTTTTGTGAGGTTATTGCAATTTAGAAAAATTTGTCTTAATATTTTCGATAGTGGCCGTAGAGGATAAGGCGACTTATTCAGCTTCTTTCAGATTCTTTTAGTTTTCTGGGAAGAACTTCCAGGTAATGATGGGGGGAGGTGGGGGGAGGTGACCATCAAATGGTAAGCTGCAGGTGTAGCGCTGAGCTTCTAATTAGTGTTCTAAGTGCTTTCTTTTCAGCAATATAACTTACTTTTCATTTTCTTCATGTTTTCTTTCTTATATTGGGGGTACTTCTTACATTTGAGAGATAAATAAGAATTATTTCATAACAAAGATGAAAATATTAATTTATAAAACTCCAGTCAGAGATTTCACCTGGTGTGTTCACATAACATTAACTCCTTACACAGTTGTAGGAGGCATCCAAAAGAATGAATCCCAGGAGATTAAATTGTCTTATTTATAAAATATTTGTTTAGGTGTCTTAAATGTGATGAAGAGTGGGCACACACCTAAAGGACAGGTGCTGTAACCAGATTGGTTTTGATTGTCAAATGGGAAAAAGTGCAAATGACATCAACACACCAGGCTGTGTAACGGGATCTGGGCATGAATCATTATCTGGATGCAGTGATTGTGTTGATGGGCTTTGTGCTGTCTAATGAGATAGTAGCTCCTAAAAAGTTCTGGAATCCTTTTAGACTGGGTATAATAGAATAGGAAAACCTGAATTTATACCTTTGTTTGTTTGTTTTTACAGAGAGGAAACTAGTAAGCGTTTTTAGATTTAAAAATCCAAGGGGCACGTGGTTGGCTCAGTCAGTGGAGCCTGTGACTCTTGAGCTCAGGGTTGTGGGTTTGAGCCATGTGTTAGATGTAGAGATTACTTAAAAATAAAATCTTAAAAAAAATTCAAGATGTTTTTAAAAATTGATTGAAAAACTCAGAAAGTAGACATGTAAATACATTTTGTAGTCATTTAAATTTAAAAAGCTTGCCCACCTTTATAACTTGTTTTCCCAATTTCTGGAAAGTGTTAGTATCTAAATCATTACCATCTTTACATGTTTTCACTATGTTACCACCTTTAGGATACATATAAATATGGTACAAAGCAGTGTTTTGAGATCCTCTAGATTTTGTTAATAGTAATGTCTTACTTAAAGTATAATTTTGCTACCTCATTCTGCTGTCCAGTGTCATATCCACTAATTTTGCATATCTAAATGTCTATATTCATAATAATAACTATCATAACTATTATTCATAGTAAGTTAGTATCCACGTGGTAACTTAAGTATGTGCATTGACATTCTTGAGGTTTTCAGTTTTGCAGAACACTGATGTCTATGGATTCTAACATGGACTTCATTTAAAGAAATCCACCGACCATTATTGGACAAAAACATGAATCAATTTGTATTGTGGCATTCAAATCCTAGCACTTTGGGAAAGGTAAGTTGTTGACTATGTTTTATGTTAGGTGAGAAATAGAACAGCCTTGGATTGGTCTAGGTAATTGTAGGATTGTGATTGGAAAATATAGAATGAATCTCTTCAAATTATGTTTTAGACTTTCCAAAGAGACTTTCTTAGACTTTCCAAAGAGAGGTTTGTTCTGAGGCAATTATTATTATTCCCTATAGAACTGATCAGAAATTAAAGAGATTGGCAAGTTATATTATTCCTGGAAGATTACTGCTCTACTCTCTTTTTCAGGAGATCCCTCAACACATTAGGGGCTGATAGAATGTATCAAGCTGTGGATACCCTGTAGGAATGGGGCCTCAGATGGTCATTTAAATTATCTCCCATCCAAGTTTGGCCCTGTAATAATATATGTACCAAGTCTTCTGGCCAATTTTACTTTACATGTTAGGTTAAAGCAATAAAAGAAGTAAAAAAAAAAAAAGTCCTCCCCCCCTTATCCTGCTTTATTTATGCTATTTTCTTTTCTTTTAAAAAATCTCTTACATGATGGATTCTGCAGGCCTTTTATCTTTCTGTCCCAGGGGGTAAGCTTTCTCTTCTTTTTCCTATTTCACCTTTGCTAGCTTAGGAGTTTGTTAACTTTCAAATCCTTAACTTCTAACTTGGTGATCATGTTTGCCATCTTTTAATCACTATGCGTTAAACTTGTAGTTTTTCCTGGTCTCCTTTGTAGCAACACTGGCGTCTTGTTTAGAATTTGCTCAATTCCAAAACCAGCCAGTACTTCTAGGAATTCATCTTTCAGATATATTTGCACTTGCATACGAAAATTTGTATATAAAGTATCATTACCATATTATTTAAAATTAAAAAAACAAACAAACTAAGAATAAACATCCTCAGCAGAGGTCTGGTTAAATCAATGCCTTCATGGGATGTAGTATTTGTAGCTCTCAGAATGAATGAAGCAAACCCATAGGCAGAGATACAGCAAAACCTCTAAGATACATTGTTAACTAAGGAAAACAATATAGAACTCTTTGTATAGTATGTTTTCACTTTGTGTTTTTTAAAGCATACATTTATATATACACATCCAAAATTTCTTCAAATCTGTATGAGAAACTATTGACAGGTCCTCCTGGTAAATGAGACTATAGGTCTACAATAGGAATATGACTCATATTTTTCTGTGTACTCTTTTTGGTGGATTGAATTTTTAACCATGAATATGTTTTTATAATACTAAAGAACAAACAAATGAAAAGGCTTTTGGCTAATTTAAGAATTAATGGGAACCAGCAGCTATTCCTTATGACTTTTGTCCTTATAATTATTTACACTATTCAGAGGGAATGAGGTTGCATAAGTGAGTTAACTTTTTGTCAGAGCTGTATGGAAAGTTTGATGATATTATAATAGGCTTTTAATCTTCACATTAGATTATTATTGTTATGAATAAACTAAGAGCTTAGTGCTGCTGAATCTACTCATATACAATTTCTAGCAGATTGCTAACCTCACCAGGTAATATGGATTTTACCTTTGTTTGCAAGCTAGGTTTGTATTACATGGGCATGGTTCTTCTGAGCTTCCCAGTATTACTGAATGTGATGGGCTTTGTTTTATTTGAATTGCGATTGAAGGACTCTACTCTTTAAACAAATCTTAGTTATTCTTTTACTTTGTTCTTGATGCTTAGAGCTAGTTTAAAGCATTTCAAAGAATGGCTTATTCTCTCTGTTAGCACAATCAGTAAACCAGAAAGAATAGTTTGAAGTTACTGATTATTTGTCATGGGACTCAGCAAAAATTCTCATGACATTTACTTCGCTAGCCATCTTTGTCTTTCCACAGTTTTATTGTGGGAAATTTGGAATAGTAATAGGTGAATACAAGAAATTTCAACATATAATAATCTTCATTTCATTAATAAAGGGATTTTATTTGACAATTGCTTAAGAGTAGGCTTTGTTAGATACATACTTCTATGATACCACCGATTGTGTATCTCGTGAAAATCAAAATGAAGGCCACTTATCACTTATCATGACCACTGAGTCATGATTAATGGAATAGAACAGATTATGGTATGTCAGGTGTTTTATATATACTTTGGCAGAGTATTTTGCATATAATCGTCTAAGTTAAATGATGCTTTGCTTCTTGAGATTCATGAGATTAATCACTACAAGCCACAAAGTGGAAATCACTGGGCAGGAAGCCTAGAGTGGGACTCCTTTTCTTGCTAAGAGAATGGATAGTAAGCAATGAATTGAATCCAAGGGTACATTATGTTGTCCAGAGTCCAGATGGATATGGTAACAGTAACACATGGAAGGAAAGGAGCACGTGAGCATGAAAATTACATGTAGATAACATGGAACTGGGGAGGATACATGTATATGTGTTTGTCTCTGCATATAGATATGGATTTATAAAATGTGTGTATATTTTATTTTACACATAATGTATATAAAATTTTCTGTAAAACCAGAAGTTCTGGATAAGAAGATATTTAGCACAGGAGGGAAAAAAAGTCAGAATTTTAAGACCTCAGAGCTGAGCCTATCTTGGGCAAATTCATGATTATGAGAGCAGTTTAAAGAATTTGGGATGTTTTAAGACCATTCACAGTGATGGGAATCAAGTGATGGGAAAGTGGATAGGAGCCTTAGAGAAAATTAAAATCTAGGTACATGTAAGATTATGGATGCGGGTATCTTTTAAGATTCTGTTCTGTGGTATTGTTTTGGGGAGGAGAAAAGAAAGGAGAACTCAAAAATATATTGCTTTTCAATTTGAAACATAAGTCTTTCCTCCCTTTCCAATTGTGTATGACCAAGATAGATGAACTAGACCCACTAACTTACCAGACATTATTCTACAGAACCTGATTTCATTATTATATATACCTTGAAGAACAAGAGAATTGTTTTAAATCAGTTTTGTGATTATGTAAAAGGATAACTCTGATGATCTAGACAGAGGGGATTGGCACCATTTTGTTCAGAAAATAGAAGACTTTGGAAGAGTTGGAGAAACTATAGGAAGCACACCCATTTTCTGTTGTTTGAGGCCAAATGAGAGAAGGTGTAGAACTAGTCAGCAGGGGAGCAGATTGTGTCTGGAGGCAGTGAACTTTGGGTCATTAGGGCTGCTTAAGCAGAGTTTGAACATTGAACATCAGGACTGTTGTATAGAGGATTTCTCATTGTATGGGAGATTGTACTTGATAATTATAAAGTTTCCTTTTAAATCCTAAAAATTCTTTTTATACTGCAATGAAATATTTATTATAGTATGATCTTAAAATTTTTTTAATATTTATTTATTCTTGAGAGAGAGAGAGCACACAAGCAGGGCAGGGACAGAGAGAAAGGGAGACACAGAATCTGAAACAGGCTCCAGGCTCCAAGCTGTCAGCACAGAGTCCGACGCAGGGCTTGAACTCCGGAATGGTGGGATTATGACCTGAGCCAAAGTCGGACATTTAACCAACTGAGCCACCCAGGCGCCCCATCATCCCTGTCATTAAATACTGATAGCTAATTTATCCACCCATCACTTATCCAACAATCTCAACTTACCTAAACCAGGAAGTAAATTTAAAAATTACCTGACTTCCCAAATTTTAAGACTCAAAACCCATAGGCTTTTTCTTAGGTCCTTAGTCAGTGTATTGATTTTTTTTTTAAGACAGTTCTAATAGGATTAATTAACTGGTATCTTACTCCATAGTATACTAGAAGCAGCAAATTGTGAGGGGGCCAAGTGCTACTGTAAGATTAATATCCATGCTAATAGTGGTGATGACATGCATAACAACCTTTTTTAATTATATAAGTGACCCATGTCCACTTGACAAAAATTAAAATATAGAAATATATTTTGGGGTGATATAAATATATGCATATATATATTTATATATCACCAAAAGAAAAAGTCACCTATAATCCCCTACCATTGTTACTATTTTAGTAGTATGTTATTTTTCAAATCCTTTGACATTCCTGCAGGATGTCACTTTGGAGTAGTGACTGCTAAAACTGATTCTACATTACTCCTGTTGGGAAACTAAAATTAGTCACTATCCTTTCTAATCAGAACATACAGTGAAAGATTGTGACATGGCATAATGCTGATTTGAAGGAAGCCTTAGTCTTGGTCGATTTTGTTGTACTGAAACCAATTTTATATTAGTGGCCATAGGTTGATAGTCTCGAAGCAAAGGGCCTGAGTTTGAATCCTGATTTCACTATTTACTAGCCAGGTAAACTACCAGAATTTCTTAAATTTTGTGTGCCTCAGTTTCTTCCTTTGTAAATTGAGGATAACGTAATTATCAAATTCATAGGATTGTTGTGAGGATTAAATAAATTAATCTAGATAAAATTAGAGTAGTGCCCAGCACAAAGTATAGACTCAGTATATATTAGTTGCTATTATTATTAATAATTTTTAAAAGCTTTAAAGTTTTCTTGGCAAAAAGGCAGATTTATAGGAGCACATAAAATAAAGAGCAACAATGAGCATAAGATGAGAGAGAGGTGGTCAGTAAGATTTACTATGTTTTTCATCGAAACCTGCAAACTGGTCTGAATTTTTCCATTGTAAGATGTTGTTGTCTTTTTTCCCTTGTTAACTATTTTCAAACCATAATATTCCTAGTTCAGTTTCTTTCTGTACCCCACAAAATCAACCTTATTTTATGCTGTCTCCTCCAACAAATATTTTGGCCATGTTTTCAAAGATCAAAAGCTGTTTAAGACCATCTATTATCATGGCTAGTGATCAGAGAGATTCAGGAAATTATCATTAAATCAGTTTATCTGGCTACAGCCCAAGGTGGTTCTATAAGAAGTTTGAATTCAGCAATTTAAAGTGAAGAATATTAATCAAAGAGATAAGCCAGTGAGCATATTTAGCCATTCTGTATTCTATATCTTTTAAAAATCTTTGTTTCCTCTTCTTTTTCTTCTTTATTTCATTTGGGTTTTCTTTTTCTACTCTTTCAGCATGTT